TCTCCTCACGAAGCTGCGCGGCGGAACTCAACAAGATCATGCCCAAGCCTACTTGGCCCTTCATTGCTTTTGTGGGATTTAGACTGACCGTGGCATGCAAAACTGGTCTGACAGCCACACAATCTAGTTTTGCACCCATGGGGACAACCAGCTGGGCAACAAACGCCAGTCAAGGAACAGAAGGTCTCCTTCAAGGTCCTTTCCAGCGCAGCCTCATGGCCCTTCCTTTGTTCCTGCAAATAGGATGACGCCAACTGCACAAGCACTCTCAGCTGCTAATGTTAACACCGAATGCCTGGCCCTCCAGCTTTCTGTGAATGTACTCAGTCTTCTTCAAATGCATAAGGAGGTACTTGCAGTCTCGAAAAGGCAGAAAAACAACAAACACCAGAATACAGCGCACCAACGCATGTTACAACACAGTCAGGCACAAAAAAATCAAACATCATTGCTCTTCTCCAGTCACACAGCCTCCAAAGCACCTTCCAGCGCAGCAGTGTGCTTCACCTTGTGGTCCTGCAGCAACCGAAGGGTTGCAAGAAAATCCAAGAGCCTTTGTGTCAGCCCTGCATCATCTTGAGGTCATCCAGAATTCTCGCTTGTGATGGGAAAACACACTGGCAGTTTCAAAAGGTCCATGGCGAACATTGGCGGCCAGAATGGAGCCAAACATTGCCATGGCCAACTGGCCAACAGTGCTGGTTACTAGCCAAATGTGCAGCCAGTTTGCTTCCTGGTCAAGGGAAATACAACACCAAAGCAACCTGTTCAATTCACGGCGCCTCCAAAGCACTTTCCAGGGCAGCGGTGTGCTTCATCTGCTGATCCTCATCATTTCCGGATCGTTGCCCACATGAAATTCCCAGAACCTGTCGATGAGGATCACTTCCTATTGAACACTTTAAAGACCATCCCAAGTCTGCTGGGCACAAACTCTTGTCCTCCAAGCTCCGGCAGTGATTTTCATCGTTCTCCTTCAACACTGCAACGCCAAACACATGACACAAAGCGCATCCTGTCCGCCAGTGCAATATGAATGCACGTATTTGCCAGATTTGGACTGCAATGCAAGGAATCCTTTCGCGACATGATTACTTTTGGGACAAAAGGGCTCCTTCAAGGCTCTTTGCAGGGCAGCCTCATGAACCTTCTTCTGTTCCTGCAAACGGCGTCACCAAATGCACAAAGCCTCTCAACTAGTCGCGAACTCGTAGTTTTCGGCAGGGGGGAGGCGGTAAGGTTATCACCAGCTCACACAAAGCAGCTTTCTTGGGCAGTTGTGCTTGTACTGTGCATGATCATACCTATTTGCGCTCGCCGCAGCACGGGGTAAACCAGCAACAACAATATCAAAAGCGATCATTCAGAACAACGGGGCTGCGCACAAACACGTTCAGGCAAGTGGAATGCTGAACTGCGTGCTACTGTCAAGCCTGCATGGTGGAACTCCAGCCTGTTGGTTTCTTGACGCATAAAACTTAGCTTACCTTCCAACTGATGATTTCAGGGTTCTTGCTGCGCTGCTACTACTTTCCTGACAATGCCAAAAACGACTACGATTGATCTCTGTAGTTCTATTGGTTGTATAATGCATAAAAGATCACAACATCATCTCTTATTCTATTTTATACAGTATTCAACCCAAACTATCCACTAACTTACTGTACATACATAGCTGAACATTACGAGCAACGAAGGAACTGAAGGTCTCCTTCACTGCTCTTTCCAGGTCAGCCATGTGGTCCTTCTTTTGTTCCTGCACAGTGAGTGCTGCATCAATCCCAAAAGCACTCCAAAAACCACACATGGAACGACCAGCACTGGTCATTGGAGTGTTTCCTATTCTTCCTGGCAGTTGCCAGGGTATTCTTGCATCTCTTACATATTCTGATTCTTATATGCTATGGGAACCACATCTCCTTTCAACTTTGGACTTGTCTATCTGGAAACATTTGGAATACAATATCAATATACTGCAGTCCGAGAACTCAGAGGTGGGACTGCGGCTTTGAAGGTCGACTGGCTCAAGTACCTCCTTGGTGGTCCTTAGAGTGCTTTTGATTTGCAGGGGTCTGGGGAACAGTACAGATGCGCACGGCAACGCTGGCACGTGCCTCCAAAGCACGTTCCAGCGAAGCCGTGTGCTGCACCTGTTCCTGCAGTCGATGGTCACTGGTCCACAGAGTGTCGGTGAGAATCTCTGCCAAATCCCAAACCAGCAGAGCTTCCACTTACCTTCCACTTCTACTTACCCCACAGAGCTTCGTTTACCATTGCTAACTCAGCACAGTGAGTTTCAATTACTTGCTAACTCAGCCTCAAAGGGTCCCATTTCGGCCTCGGAAGACGAAGGGGTCTTCTCTTGCAATGGCAGGTGGGTCCACTTCCAATGTGTCAAGTCAGATTTGTATGTTTTGATAAGCGCCTATGCGTTACAGTTACATTCCCTATAGGAATCCCACCTTGTGACGGGATCCCTATACCCTAGGGATGCAAGTACCTTTTGAGAAGGTGATTGGAGACGCTGTTATGTAGGTTGGGAGGCTCCAGGTATACCTTCTTTCGTTTCTATACGACTGGATCCCTATAGATATAGGGATTGGTCCCTGGGTTTCAGACCCTCAGGTGGTCGCCCGAGGAGCACGACAGAGCCCAGTGGGGCACGGCCTTCGATGCTTCCCTCGCCGTCCGAGGAGTCACGACCGTCAGGGTGAGCGGACCGCGGTTCTGCGCTGTTGCGATATGGTGAAAAGCCACAGCCCAACATCATTGCACTCCCAAGTTCAAAGATCAATGACAACTGTGGTTTCTTGTGGCGCGGAACAGAACTGAGGTGAACTGATTTTTTCGCTGGCGCATGGGTGACTGCTTGGCTTTTATGGGTGGCCAATGACTATCCCAGTGCATCCCAGGCACACCACTATCTAAGTAACCAGGGATTCGTTCGGTCTGTGGTTTTAGTCTTTGGAACCACTGCGGACTACCAGCGACATCGTGGTTTGCCTGGATGCCTGCCCTGACTACACACGCTGAGGAGTGGGGTTTGGGGTCTCCCGCGCTCTGCCGGCTCCGCCCCCAAGGGATTCTGCAAGAACAAGATCCAGTTCCCAGACACGACCTGTTTGGCACTGGCAGATTTACCGATCAGTTGGGGTGGTTGACCTGGGGTCGTATGTAAAGTTTAGCCAGTCCCAGACAGGGCGTGTCTGGGGTTGGTGTCAGTGTCCAACTCTCTTCGACTCGGAACTGGCTGGAACGATCGCTTCGGGATCCGTCCATCGAACTGTTGTGCGGGACGACCGGCACGGTCCGGGCTTGGAAACCGCTTTTCTGTTTGTGTGTGCCTAAGTGGGATCAACATGTGTGAGACGGACAGGGCGACCTTCCAAAGCACCTTCCTTCGGTTTTTGCCGATGGCATGTCTTTCGGTGAAGCCCAGTCTTCTTGACAGGCGGGTGAGAAGAACTATGTACATCAAGAGAAGATGTGTTCGCAGGATTGATGATTTGTCTTCTATTCTGCAATGTTGAGCATGGGATAGACCAATTCCATATTATAGCTGGCCCTGTCTTTTTCCTATCATGAACGTGGCCTTAGCGACTGCGAACTGCTATACTACCACTTCAATCGGCCACCGGCCGGGAGCTACCTGGGAGCTAATTCCTCGCACCTTGTAGCCGTTGCACTTTCGTAATCTTTGCCAATAAGACTTGCTTGGGGACCTCCTTTTTGGCCAGGATCTTCTGCAAGGATTTGCATGCCTCCACCGCAAGAAGTCACACACAAACAGGGGGAACAAGATGCCCGGTACGTGTGGAGGAGGATCCATGAAAAGTGCTCTTGACCCAGGACAATAAGAAACTACACAAGGACCTTGCCCAGTGCATTTAGGAGGGAAGATGTTGTAGTTTCTACTTTCAACAGAAACCTTAGCCCCTCTCCCACATCATCCTGCAAACATCTGCAGACCAAACCGTCCAGAGGGGACTCCGTCTTTGGGGTCTTTAGGGCTAGCATCACGCTTTCCTGATGCCCGGGGACTTAGGTGAACGAACTCCACCTGAGGACCTCTCCTTGTTGAGTGGCGTGTCCCCAATTCCCCAACCTATTTTAGGGTTTTGCCCGCTGATGCCCATACTTCCGGAGTTGGTTTCGATCTAAAAGCATCCCCCTCCTCTGTACTGTGTTGAACCACATGTGTTGCCCGGCCAAGTTCGTCCCAACCGGAGGTCGATTTCGTCCGACGGAGTGGCCAGAAGGTGATAGTGTTTGAGAAACTGATTAGATTTGGAGGGTCCAGTGGATTTCTAGGGACTCACTCACTCACTCACTCCACTCCCTCCCTCCACGATTTCGCAAGATATGAAAGCTTTCCGTCGCCGCTTCCTTGCCGGCACCGAAAGAAGCGCGCCTCCTCTTGTTCCTGCCTCTTCCGATGCTTTAAGCGCAGCTTCAGCTTCGCCTGCTCAATGAGCGTTCGCGTCACGCCACAATGCTTGGCCTCTGAAATGGCAGCACTCGCGTCACGCCACGTCGTCTTAGAGGCATCGGGCGATGAGGATGGCAAGACTGGTAGAGCTTGGTCCTTATAGCCGCAGGTGAAGACAAAGAACATCTAGATGACAAGGCCCAACCAAAAGAACCTTCAACATGCAACCTTCTAGCGCCCCAAGCTGTATTTAAGAACAACAAACGAACACCAGGGTCACAAAGGGGTGGTGTTTAGTCCCATCCAGTGAGTGGGTAATGGGCCTCCCGACTTCCTCCATGAATCGCACCCCTTTGAAACTCCTGGCACATCCATTTCACGTTAACAAGATGTGGCCCATTGTCCCGAGTGTCGGTGGAATCCGCCACGGCGAGGAGGCGTTCCTGCAGGCGTTCGGCGGCCGCATGTCGCCTGGCAGCGACCTCGGTGAGGCTTTGCAGCACGGAGCTGGCCTCAGCTTGGGATCTGCGAAGCCGAGAAAAAAACAGGAGACATCTTCGCCGGGTTTGAGAATTCACCCAGAATTTTGAAGAAAAAAACAGGATTAACTGATTCACATATCATTAACATTCCGGTTCGTGATCAGTTGGTTCGGTCTCCCTAGCCAGGCCCGAACTGCAGAAACTGGCAGGGATTCACCCAGGACAGGAATTGGACGGAACAAACCACAGATAAATCCAGGAGTCACAGAGCTCTGGGTGTACTTGCAGGAAGGTCGGGGTGCCCCGAGCTCACATTCCACGCACTCACTGGATGGGACGAGCGAAACCCAACCTCCATACTCTTGGATCACCGAATCTCTTTTTCCGCCCAGTCGCTTGTTCCATGAGCCCGGCCGAGTCCCCCTCGCCTTGGAAAGAAAACCGCAGGTGTTCGGCACGTCGGGCATTGCGGCCGTGTGTATTGCATATCATTAACTGCTCGATTCGTTGTGATGCACTCTGGCATGAGGTCAGCTGGGATCAAACTAGTATCTATTCAGTATAGTCAGTCCCAGGACACCGGATCACTTGGCTTCATCCCTAAGGCAATAAACCTCTTTGTTTCGTGGATGCACATAAATATTTTGGAGCTCCTTGAAATGAGTGAAGTGCAATGGTGGTTCGTCATGTCCCGGTTCTTCCACGTGACCGAACTTGATTTGAGGGCACTGAGTCAGGCCTCTCAAATACAGGTCGGTCACTTATCAGGGACTCCAAAAAGATCACGAACTGAAGAAGCTGGGGGGCACTGGCTGGTGAAGTTTTGTGTGCTTTCTCATCTGCCAGTGGTGACATGCTGCACGGCACGGTGTGACATGACCACGTTCCGACGACTCTCGATGTTGCATTCCGAGTACGTGGTGAAGCTGGTAAAACCTCTTGCGATTTCGGTGAAGCTGGTGAAACCTCTCGTCGTTTTAAACCCATGTGGAGTTGTAAGTCCCAGACTCCATGGGACTGCCATATATGCCGATCAATTGACCCCCCAAACGCCATACATGGAGTGTCTGGGAGTTGTAAGGTGCACACCGGCAAACCACTCCCCTGGTGTGAGACCCGATCCATCAACCACCTTGGAACCCCCCCCTCCCGCCATCACGTCAACGGAGCGGTCACCGAGTGTTGAAAGAACAACACAAGCACAACCCCCGGAAATACGTACTTTCACACCATCAAAAGGGGTGCGATCCATGGAGGTTGGGGGTGCCCAGCTACTCCACTCACTTGGGAACCAAACACCACCCCTGTGTGACTCCTTGTATAATATATATATATATATCATCAAAGTATATGCAATTTTTCTTGGCTTGGGTGAAGCTTGAAAAAGCTCCCTTTCAGTTCCCTGCCACAAATGGTCTTTTTGATACAAGTGTCCATTGGCCCAGCCCGGCCTCGGAGATGAGGGCGATGAGGACGATGATCCGTCAAACCCACCTGCCCTAAAGCTCGCACCTGGCCTTGGATTGGCCGAAGGGAAGAAAAGATGACGCCTGCCGTGGATGAGGTCTAAGATGGGCCAGGTCGAGGTGACCAGGGAGTTGGCAGGGTGCCAAAAAGTGTAAGGCAAATGAAACTGGAGTCGACCCATTGGAAACCTTGGAATATGGGTAGAGTATGGTGAGTCCTTCCTGATTTTTGTTCGGGTCATTGGGCATTTTTTGCAAGGAACTTGAAGTCGGGTCCAGGCACATACAAATCTTTTTTCGGAACCTACTGCCACACCCCAAAACCGGAGATTTACATATCGGGTTCCTAACCTACTTCCGTTCCGGCTTGGAGGCGGCAGTAGCCAGGCAGTGCCAGGGGGATCTAACCTTCTACGGTCCAAAGATGTGGGACAGGAGCCCTTGGGAATATACTTGGACTCTTCAAAGTACCTTAGAACATGGGACATGACCCTATTAAACAAATAAAAATAAGCTGGTACTTGTCGCATCTTGTCGCCATTTTTGGCTGGTACTTGTCGCCATTTTGTGAGGTACTTTGAGACTCCAGGTGCAAATTCACCCGATTCTCTCCAACCAGCAACCAAAAGCCAGGCGGCGCATCGAGCGCTCGATTTCGCCCTGGTCTCGAGCATTCAACGCCAGCTGCAGGCGATGCTCTGCGACGCTGCGCTGACAGGCCTGATGGGAAGCGGACAGGCCTGGTGGAGAGGTGGAGCGGTTTTGCTCGGGCTGTCCAGTACGGGATACATGATACATGTCGTTGTTTTGCATTTGTTTCTTTCAACACTCTAATTATGGATCTGTGGCTTCAACTAGCTTCGTTTCGTTTCGGGTCTGTCTGCCTTCTGAGGATTAGATAGTTGGAGCCCTAGGGTACAAATTAGGATCACTGTGCAATGTCTGCCGTCCTCGCCATTGGCGGAATGTTCGATGCGAGATGTAAAGCAAAGCACAACCATGGACTCCTGAAACAACCCTCAATGTTACCTTGTCAATGTTCATACATGCATGGATTGCTTTGGAACTGTTCATGGATTCAAGTCACAGGACCCAGCAAAACACAACCTTGGAACAACCACAAAGGATTTGCTCCTGATCATTGTGAGAAACTCATGGAGCAAAGGTGTGGCCCAGAGGATCATCAGGCTATCCTTTCTCAGCCCCTACAAACACACGGCATTTTGCAACCTTGCCTCTCTTCTGGCATGTTGCAAGAACTCTTTCCCCTTCTTGATGCTCTCATGCTGCAGTCCTGCCGTCTCAGCTGCATCCAACAGGTCTCTGAGCGGCCCCAAGAGCTCTGCAGTCGATTTGCCACTCGCACGACACTCCTCAACTCGTTTCAGCTGTTCCACGAGCTCGGCTCGCACCTCCCTGCGTCTGGCATTGCTCTTTTCTCTCCTCGGAACGGAAGGCGCTCGAATGAGGTCGGGTTGTTCGAATGAGGTTTTGCTTGAACCCAAAATAAGACAGTTAGACTCCGTCTGCGGTGAGCGTGCCTGAAAAGGATGAACCAGGCTAGCCAGTTCTGCCCTTTGAAGATTGTTGATGACGGCTGTCCTGTCCCGAAAACAACATAGTGAACCTTTTGTGCCGACGCCAATTTCTGTGGGACGGAGAGAGGTAGCATCGCATCGTTGACGCTTCTTGTCGATGTGTCCAACGGTTCTTCAGTCTTCAGACTCAGAGATTTTTCACAAAGCCAAACGAACCGTTTGCGTCATTTGCAGTGGGTAGTAGGCACTTCCCCCCCAGTAGTAGGTTTCTGTAGTAGGTTGAACTGGGTTTCCGGTGCTTGAGCCTACATGGTTTCCGGCATCCCGACGACCTGGTGGTCGGTGACGGGGGTGAGGAACCTTCGGGTTTTGCCAGGGGGGACCACCCAGCAGTTCTTCAGCCAAACATAAGGAAGATGGGACCTGCCATGATTTGCTGGGATTTGCCGGACTTCGGAAGCTCGAGAAAAAAACACATCACAATGTTTCGGGATTTGCCCACAGGGAAATTATATAAGTCAAGCAAAAAATCACTTGCAAGCAACACCAAGTTTGCCTAGCAGTTGGGGCCATCAGGGGTCCGACCAATGTTGATTAGAACAAGAAACTACTCCGACACTGCCGCAACTGCATTCACCAGGACAGGTCTAGAGGGTACTACCGGGGTGCGCACATGTGCCCTCTCTAGCATGCAGCGAGACCAGTCACCTCCAGTCACATGGAGCCGGAGACACACCAGTCCATGGACCAGTCCATGGATCAGCCGTTGGTGCACCTGGAAGCCCCAGTCATGCTGGAGCCATTGACATCCCGAACATACAGTGGTTTCAGAGGCTCGATGGCACAATCACCAAGAGGTGGTTTATATGGACCCCCATCTCAAAGACATGTAGAGCCGGGGCGCCAGTGCCATGGAACCTCTGATGGCCCACTGTAGAGGAATCTGTTCATGTGATCTGTGGTCAAGTGGGGTCCTTGAATGCCATGACCCACCCAGATCTTTGGACAACGCGTACGTCTGACGCCAGGTCTCTTATCCAAGATCTCCTTGCCGTCTGTAATGAGCCGTTCTAATTTGGACGTCCATGGCTTCAATGCTCTGGCTTTTTCCAAAAGCTGCTGATAGCGCCAGGGCTGTTTCTGCAACAGTGGAAGCGACCTCTAGGGCTGTTTCCGCGTTTGGAAAGCACCCACACAGCGAGCAAGGTTTGTTCACTAGAAGGTATCGTGTCATCCGATTCGTTTCACCAGTTGAGCTGATTTCCCCTAAACTCTCGCAGATCCTGCTTTACCAACCCATGATCTCAAAAAACCGAACAGTTTCAACCACTCCATGATAAACCTTGCACCCAGCTGTACAAACAAGCTACAGCCAAACCCCCTAACAGGGGCCATCCTTAAGATCCAACCCTCTGAGATCCGGTTGGGCATGCTTCACCTGAATGGAGGGTCAGATACTCATGACTGGGGTTGCGATGGATCCAGGTGGCGGATCCAGACATCTTTGGCAGTTATCATGTTATGCCGAACCTTCTGCTTCAAGAAAACAACACGAGCATCCCAATTGTCCCCCCGCAAAAAAAAAAACACAAAACCACACGTCTCCAAACTCGCTCTATCAGCATTCCTTCAATCGCTGGTAGCCTGGTAGCTTTGTTTTTAGCAAATCTGAGACCCGTGAAATCAGCACCCAATCTGTCCCACCTGTCCCCAATACTCCGTGACCTACGAAACCCAGTCCCGTATCCCAACCAAAAACAAGTCCGTGACCTGGACGTTTCTCCAAGTCCCAGCCACGTACCCGATGTAAAGGATCTTAAAACATTGCCATATAATACAGTAACAACACTCTCATCATTTGTGGTTGGTTGGGTTTCCAGGTATATAGACCCCTGATGGCCCACCGTTGACTAGGTCAGGTATATACTCAAGATGCCAGTCACACAGAGTGTTTGGGTGTTGAAACATGTTGAAACCACAAACCAAACCCGCCATGTCCTACCATTCCCAATCATTCCCCGCCACCACCAAAAAAAGAAACGTCCCCTTTGCATCCCTTGGCGAAAGCAAAGAAATAAACCTAAAAAACACTGGACAAAAACACCGATTCTCCTCGTGCTTGCCCAGATATCCTCCTGTTTGGTTCGGAGATATCCTCCCTAGGGATCAGAAGGCACCCTTCTCAGGTACGGTGAATTCTCCTCTCTTTCTGCCTTCCAAGGCACCGTTGCACTTCTCCAGCTAAGACGTCGCAGCGCTCCTCGTGTTCCCGGAGCTCCTGGAGCTTCTGGCTCGCCGCGCGCAGCTGCTCCGCCGACACGCCCGCGCTCTTGGCCGCACGCACCGCGGTTTCCAGGCGCAAGCGCCCCGCGACGCCCACGCCTGATGGGACGGAAAGGGAGGCACAAACCCAGCGGATGGTGCTGCTGTTGCAGCCGCTGCTGCTGCTGCTTTCTGTGAAGCGGGGTGGAAAACCATTGATGTTGGGGGTTGAAATGTGGAGAAAGGCGCAAGAAATGACCTGGTGGAGCACTGAAATTGACAGAAGATGCATGTGAGATCGTAGATGGGTTTCTTCGTTCAAAATTCAACTGCATTTCAAGGAGTTTCAGGGTACCCGCATGTACTCACCCAACTCCCCGAGTCCTTAAGAGCTAGGCCAAGGTTGCGCCCTGCACAGAACCACTGACCCTTTGTCATCTTTGTCACTCACAGGAGGTCAGTTGCTTTGGCAATCTCAAGTTGGTGGTTTCAACTCACCTGAGTCAGTGATTTCTTTCTCATCTCATGTCTTCAAGGTCAAGGTTGAAACGTGAAACCATCACCTCAAAACACCACCCAGTTTAGAATATCGATCAGCAACCCAGAAATGCTAATGATATTGCTAATGATTGACCTTCAATCAGTAAGATGTGGCAGTTGCACATCACCCATTGGTGGCTTGCATGCTTTCAAGGCACCTAAAAGCTTGAGAAACATGACGAGAAACTCTCTGACAGGAGTGATCAAACCGTAGAGGAAGACAATGCCACTCAACATCGGTGAATGCTTTGGGGAACGCCACTGAAGGCACTTGCAAACCAGTGCGATGGATGCAAACCATGTGGACGAACATGTCTGTTTAAACATGAGTGGACAGGAGTGAGAAGGACCAAAAAGATCGGAGGGGGTGCTGTAGTGCTGTTTGATGGAAGACCTTTCCTGCTTCGTGGGCCTGCTAAAGTTAAAGATACATCCTTCTTCATCTATTCCAATTGGAACATGGCATGACTGGCATGACCCTATCATTAATGTATATTATATATATATTTATAATTGAATTTCAATTTGAATTGCCAAAGGATTGTAACATTTGTGGTCTCTTGCCAGCTCTTTCCACTCTAAGAGGTCAAAAGAAGTCCGAACTTGCCTCGTGAGGCTTCCATCAACTCAGCCTGTGTGGATTCGCGGTTCACCTGCAAATCCTTCAAGCGTAGCACTTGCCGCTCCTGAGAGTCTGCTCACAAGACGCGCGAGTCACAGCCATATGGAAAGAGCATAATTACTCCTATAGGGCTCCAGTCCTACCTTCTCGGAAGATACTTAGACCCTCCAGACTCCAAACCTATCCCAAACACCTTCTCATCGTTGGAGCCCCAGGGTACTTTGTGAACGTGCCTGGTTTTGTTGCAAGTTGTAACCAGAAACTCTCACTGTGAAGGGTGAGGGACGTCAAATCTAGGCCTTTAGCATCAACGCCCGCCTGAAAAGAGGCCGACCATCGGTTTCAACCCGCGCCACGCCGAACACCAACCCAGGCCCACCCCATCTCATCCCCCCCCATCTCACGCCGAGCCACGGCCGTGTGGACGTTGAGCCCCACGCGCTTGCATTCGTCCACCGCCAAATGGAGGCGCTCCAAGTCGCTGGCATCGCGGATGCGTCGACCGAAGGCGGCCTGCAGCTCATCCTCTGCCGAAGACACGGTCGACCAAGGTGGCGTGACACGGCTCAGGATTTAGGGGAGCATGTCCTCCACCCAGTGCATCATGTATCGGTTTATACATTGTGTAGCCCCTGCCGGGTTGGAGGGCGATTTTAGGATGCATGCAATAGTCCCTATAGGGTGAGTTTGGGCATTGACTTCTGTCGCCCGGAAGGCTTCCTGATGATTGCCTGTCCAATCACCATTGATATTTTTGGGCGTGTGGGTTTGTTCCAACCAGTCGAAACTCCTGGGCCTGTACTCGATTTACCTCCGATGAAACAACCAAAGGAATGCTAGATGGAATTGGATGACCTAAACTCCCTGGAAGAGTCATGCAAGTGGTTGCCATGGCTCATTGGATGAGGCTCTTCCTCTGTCATCGGTGGCACGAATGGATTTTGCCGCCTTTTGGGGGGCTCCAGAAGTCTGCCCACGCCGGTGACCGGAGGACCCGGACGTCCCGGACCCTGTCGTCCGAACGGATCAAACCGGAGACGAGAAGTGCAAGCGAGGCAACCGACGTGTTGAACGAGATGGAGTGCCAGTGTCCGCGCCGGTGGCACCGAGACGGTTCTGGTGCAGCGAGACGGTTTCTCCTTCGAAAAACCCCCCTGTCCGATGTCCCCCCCAAAAAGGTGCTAGCGATCAGTGCTGGCAGTTCCACGTCCCCTTGGATCATACCCATAGCGTCTTAACACAAAAAAGAACGACCAACATCGACCAACCACGGGCGCACCCGTCCGTCCTCCGTCGGCCCTGTTCCCCCTCCCGTCCATCCTCGGCGCTGCGGCGCAGCTGGAGGAACTCCACGGATCGCTCGTGGAGTTCCTCCGCATCCTCCAGCAAATCCTCATCCACGCCGAAGCGCATACCTGAACTTTCATTTTTTGGGGGGTTCTTTTTCGGTCCTTGGCGCAGAAGAACGCAGATTTTGATGAAGATTGAAAGATTTGAGTGTTTTAGAGTGGATTGAGAGTAGATGGCACAGACCCCGAGAGGTGGTTTACATGGATCCCCATCTAAAGGACATCATGGGGTCTGTGCCGTCTACTCTGAAACCACTGTGAACATGATTGTGTTCTGTTCAACGGGTGTGGCAACATTTGTTCTCCAGAGATCTCCAACGAGTGTTTCGCGCCTAGGGCTCCTACTGCCTTCGTTTCGGTTCGGTGCGAGCCCGCCCTAGGTGCCAGAGGGGTCGTCACGACCTTGTGACGAGCCCGCCCTGGGGTCGCCCTAAGGATCCAACTCGACTAAGGACAAACGCAAGCATAACCACGGATGTACTCAAAAGGGGGCCATAGTGGCACGTGAGTTCTTGGGATCCACCCTGAGAGTATTGACAACCCCTAGGGCTCCTGGCCCACCTCCTGAGAAGGTGGTTGGGGTGGGTGCCAGGGGGGTCTAACCACCTTCTGAGGATATGGTTGGAGCCCTAGGGAACAACCACAACGCCGCCACAGGCCAAATATGAGACACCTACAGGGGCACCTATCCTACACCAGTGGGCTAACCTATAGGTTTGAACAAAAAACACACCAAATCACGACCAAGTCACCATCTGCCACCAGCCGAGCCAACTGATGCACCTGCACGATGTCTTTCAAGACATTCTCTGCAACGGCGCCGATGGTGACCTCTTCGACTTGTGACATCAGCTTGTGCAATCCTTCTTCAACCTTCAATCCTCAGACTTCAGCTCTGTGGCTTCAGGATCTTCCTTTGAGGTAAGCCATAGGTTACAGTCTTTTGTCATTTTGTTTCTTCTAAGAAGCAAACGTAGCAAGCTGTAACAATTCTATCCAACTTTGCTACTTCAGCGATCATACAATGAACACTAATTACCTAACAGAATTCTCCAGCGGGAAAAAACAGGAAAGCATAACGTGTTTGCCATAGATAAAACAGGTCTCGTGGTCTGTGGGTATTCTCCAAAACAACGAGCCGCCTCTCAAAAACTGCAATGTCATCCAGTGGAACCCGAGTCTGCTTTGCTTCGGCCAATGCCTTTTGAGCCGCATCCAGAATTCGGGTATCTGGATATTGCTCTGCCTTTTCAATGGCTCTGCGAAGGAGCTTACTTTGTCTCGCTTGCATGGCAGCAAGCTTTTCAGAGACATCCACATGACTCCGCACGGTTGATGTGCTCGTCAAGTTGGTGAAGTCCAGCCTGGTGCTGTCGCCAGCTTCTAACTCATCAACCAATGCAAGGACAGAGGGTGGGACACACAAGTCCAGGGATGAAGCTTGCGTCATCAATTTTCTTAACTGAGCTGCATCCCCATTCTCACCTGCAGCAGCAAGCTCTTGCATCAACCAGGATTGCTGCTGCTCCTTTTCAGCCTGTCGAACCAAATGATCTGCAACATCTGTCAAGACACGTCGTGCTTCTGCCCCACAGATTTTCAACTTCTTCTGCTCCAAGATCTCTTTCACCTGGTTGCAATCACTCGAAAGCAAGCTCTCCAACTTCCGGTTGGCAGACCTCTCAGCCTTTCTTTGCTCCTGCACACGCTCAGCAGAGTGTCGAGCTTCCTCCACCACAGCCACCTCCACTCCAGCCAGTTCAGCTTCTGAGATGGCTCGAGTAAGCTGCTTCAGACACATCTCCTGTTCCCGCGGAAACTGTGCAACGAATGAATGCTCTCGTTTGAAGGGCAAAACACATAAAGCACTTAAAAGCCGATATAACAGATGTGATGCGCAACATTGCGCAACCAAGACGAGCCTGCGTACTTTTTGACACATAGTCTGTTCCAAACAGGTTCCTGGTTGTATGCCCACAAAGGCATTGCATTCGAATGCTGCTAAGCCTCTCGTTGTCCATGGACACAAGGCCGACGTTGTTTTCCACAATTTAATTTAGAATTTGTAGGAAAACCGCTCTCGCCAAAAGCAATGCTGTTCAAACATCTTTTAGCATCACCTGCTGAAAGGAGCCTTATCACATCTTATGTCTTTTTGTTGGGCATAGTGGGGTCTTTTATCAGGGCCCCTGTCCAATATCCTCAGAAATTCCTCGACCCCACTAGCGCTCACCCCAACCACCTTCACCAATACGGAGGTCATCGAAGCCCTTCCCAGATGATCAGTGGTGCATTTCTATGGCCATGACTTGTGCTTTTGGGGTGTATTTTTTGTAGATCCTAAAAAACTGTGTGTGTCAAAACTACGCTTCCTTGCTTGAAGGCTTGACCTCTACCTGCCGGCTTGCTTGACCGACCGGTCTTGCTTGACCGGACCTCCGGACTGGTCCGGATGGGGTCACCGATTCGTCTCTCCTGGCGTTGACGAAAGGAGGCCTCCTGACCCACCGAGGCGGTGGAGCTCGTGGAGCTTCCAGCCCAAAGCGACTGTTCGGGCCAAAGCAAGGAACTCCTGCAGTGGGCTTCAATCATCCTTAAACTACATAACTTTATTTTATATAGTACTATATATACACATACTGTACAAATATAATATAACATAATATATTATATATTATATATACTTGATTATATATATAACTGTCTTTGTATATTCAAAAGCCACCAAAGGAGACCAGTTGGAGGGTGCTGGTATATGAAATACCGGGCAAAACGGTGTTGGCATAGGATAGACAACTAGAAAAGCTGCTTCAAAGCATCACACAGGCGCAGCTCAGAAAGCTGCCGGCTTAGCCGCGACACCTGCCAGCAATAGACATCTTGAGTCTTGAGTGTTCACTTGGGGTGAATCATGGCAGCATGGCAGGGTCGGCTGCCACTAACCTACAATCTAGGCATATTGCGGCGTATATTTCATCAATGGATGGTTTGGGACGGGGGGACCAACCAGTCCAGGACTTGCTTAGTTTGTCTCCAAAAGAAAGGCTGAGCAAAGCTTTTTGCTAGGGCCCGCAGCTCGTCACCTTTTGTAGCTCACACACGGTGCCGGTCACACAGGATCCTCACAGGGTCCTATGTATCAATTTTGGTTCACTGAATGACCTATCTGGGCTGGACCTGTTTGTGACAACATATGTCTAACCAATCCCAAACATTCCATGTATGGTACAGATTCACTTTCACTAGGGGTGCTTGAAGAGGGGGGCATACTTGAGGTCATATATGTCATACGCAAAAACCCCTGCATTTCTTTGGAACTAGGTATCTTGAATACCATGCAATGTTTGTATATCGAAAATCCATGTCATATCCATCATCTATTCCATACATCCACGTCCAGGCGGAATAGTGTCTGGCTATGATGCTTCCATCATTGGGGCTGCCATGACCATCCATGACCCACAGCCATGTCTTCTCTTCTGCTTCACCTTCGCCCATGGGGATATCGGGTCAGCTCTGAGTACTGAAGATGATCCGGGGCAGCAGGGCTGGCAGGGCTGAAGCCAGGAGTGAACACCAGTGCTGTCCTGTCCTCACCAGTGCCACTTCCATGGATCCACTCACTGGTCTAAAAACCACGCATCTCCCTGAAACTCCTGGTTCACACTTCACACTTCCATCGCCCTTCTCCACATCTACTCCTGAGAGCTGAAGGATCCTTCTGTTTTTGTGTTTAGTACTAGTGGGAGCCCATGGAACAGCGTCCAAGTCAGTGAAAGAACACCTGGTTCAATAAGCACATCACAGCAAGCTGAGCCACCACCCAAAGAATGCTTCTCCAATGCTAAACCTTAGGCCTTAGGGGGAGAGGTCAGTGGAAAGTCTAATTATCTCGAAGTCTGGGCTGCTGCGCAGGTCGACCTTTTTGGTCACTTTTGGTTTGTAAATCTATTCTTCGACTGAAGCACTCATTGTCAACGCTTTGGGGTTTTCGCCTCTGCTTCTGCACATTGAGCTCTTGGATTCTTCTTTCGCCACCTGAGCCGCTCGCCGGGTATCGCCCAAAAGGCGTTCGTAAGTTGAAAGCTTCTGGTTCACCAGCCTTTGGAACTGTCTCTTCACACCAAAACAAATCCCTCCCTGTCACACCGGCCACTCAGTCACTCCTGTCACACACCCTCGTCGCGACGGCCCGGCGCACGACCGGCGACCGCGGCGCCTCGCCAGCACGCGGCGACCTGCAACGCGCAACTCCGCGTGGAGGCCCAACTTTTGAGCACCTTCGATGGCGAGCTCCAGCCTCAAACACTGAACTCACGAAGCGAAGACACCGGAGGTGGAGTGAGTGGAGCGAAGCAAAGAAGCCTCCCTTTTGTAAGGCATACGATGTTCTGTGCAGTGAGTGGAGCGGATTTCCCATTGTGAACTTGACCAGCTGTACTGAAGTGTAAGAGTGATGTGTTTTGGGATCTTATGGGAAGGGCCTCAGCTGGGCAGTGGCAACCACATGCGGAAGTTCGACCCCCAAACCGTGGCAGGTTTCACCTCGGTTTCACCTCAGCTGATCTTCCGTCTTCAGAGTCCACTGCACTCGAGTGACGGTGCATCCGTCCATCGCCCGGTGCGACCGGGTGCGAGCGGACCCTGTCGGGACGCGGAACCGGGTGAGACCGGAACAGGCATGGAACTCCCAAACACTCCATATTTACAGGTTCAATTGGGGTGGTTTCAGGGTTCAATGTATATTCCAACATGGAGTGATTGGGGTTATATAAGATCTATATACGGACAAGAACCAGTCGCCATCATTGCAAGTACGGGTCCCAACCACAAATCGAGCCTGAACTTATAAGAAAGAATGAGTGTCCATAATATATATATATACCTATGTATACAACTACAACATACCCTATCTACTTGAGGAATGAGGAACCTGTCAATTAGAGTGGGATTCTTGGAATATCCTAGCTGGACTGCCAGTTCAGCGCCAAAAGAACTCACCAAATCCAAGAAACTTATTGAGCTCCTCCTCCTCTCCTCCTTCCGCAGCGTCGATGGCTTCCTTTAGCAAAGTGGCCACCAGTTCCCTTCGGGAATCCTGAGTAACCTCCATGCTCTCCGCCTCATCCTCGATTCGTTTCCTTGGAGTCCAAAACGCACGCGCCACGCGCGCCGCGCCGCGCGTGGCGCCCCACAGATCCCATGGAATCGTCGTCCCGACTGAATGACCTGTCCCAGTGAGGGTTGACGGAGGCCTGAGAAGATAGAGACGAACACATGTGGAAGACGACTACCTGGAGTCGACCCGTTTGTAGCGCGGAACAAAATGGGTACAGTCGATAAGCTGTTTGATGCTGTCTTAGTTGGTGATGAGTCATGTCCCCCATGGGGTCCTCGACGTCGGGTCCTCGACGTCGGGGTGAGTCGATGATGGGGGGTGAGGAAAGATGACCATCCCATGCATCCTCTCGGCCCAGCTCTTTGAGGGATGAGGGCCTGGAACAACCACCATGCAACGAAACACGTTGCCTAGGCTCGGTGGCGGTTGGATGGAATTCCCATCCTTGGAAACCCTGATTTCTCACTGAGTTATACAAGCATGTACGTTCATATCATACCCAGTGCATCCCAGTTACCACTATATAAGGAACCAGGGATTCTAGGTCTGTGGTTTTGGTCTTTGGAACCACTGGTTACCAGCGACACCGTGGTTTGCCTGGATGCGGATACATATCCCAAATACCAGTCCCTAGTTCCAACAACTGGTCCCAATTCCCTCAAACATGTAAACTAGATCAGTCCCTGGTCCCAATGTAAACTAGATTAGTCCCAATTAACAACTGGTCCCCAAGAGTCTCAAGAGGTGAAATACGGACCTTGATCAGTCCACTTTCCCCCCATGCTACCACATTCTATTTCCGAGATGCGAGAAAACAGCGACCGCATGTCGACGCAACAAAACGAAGGACTAATCTGGATTGATTTGCGAATGGGTTTCCTTGAACTTTGACACCCTGGAGTCTTACTCCGTTCGACACTCTTGGTTCGGTCGACCGAACGTGGGGTAGCTTTGGGACCATCCCGGGGGTTCTGGTCGTGTTTTTGGACCGACACGCGTTGTTTTTGCTGAGGTTGTTACTGGCGTGTCATTTGGGACCACTAGACCCGTGTATGACCTGTTAACTTGATCTACAATCTACACACATAGATTGATACAAATTGTTACACACATAGCGTCATGTCAGTCATGTCCAATTTTCTAGGGCACTTGAAGTTGGGTCCGTGGAAAACTCAACAGAATCACAGTCCCCTAAGAATCCGGGCCCTCAAACACACAGGGTTTTGAGGGTCCAAACCCCTGCTATGAGGGTCCGACCCCTGCCATGGAGAGCCCTAGGATTCGTATAGGGTCGTCATACCTATGAAGTCTCCAACCCACGACCCAGCGTCGCAACATGCAAACTCTGCTTCTCTTCTGGGGTCGTGTCTCCTGCAGTTCGGTCCCCTGAAGGAGGTACTCCATAGTCGACGGACGACGCAACTCAACCCCAATGAATCCATGAGACTGGAATACTTGCCGATCAGTGGGTTGATTTGAAGTATGTTTGAAGCGTCCATGCAAATAGTCCAGTCCCATTCCCATAGATTCTTGGGGAACGACATCTGAAACGAGCTTTTGTTCGAGCTTCAGCGCCGCCTCAGCGCGGATTAACAAATCCGATGGCTGGTTCACCTGGATCTCTTCTTCTTCCCCCATGCTTGGTCGAAAAAGCCATGACGCTTCGTGCGTCAGTTGCAAAGGTGCGGAAGGTGGGCAGATAGAGCCAAATCAGATCCGAAAAGCAGCCGGAGCAGCAACTGTGCGAGAAAAAGAACGCACATGGACGAACAACATCAGCACAAACGCATGAAACACATGAGACCAGTATCTTCTTCCTGCCGCAGTGTTGATAGTCATACTTCCTGGCGTGGTTTCTTTTAACGTGCTTAACAAATGACCATATGCAGAACAAATAAAACAACGCACTTGGCACTTGTAGAGTTTTTGACCTTTAAAGCCTCCTGGTCACGGTGTGGTGTGAAGAAAGTCATGGCTCCCTGGATGTCTTCAACGGTTCGTATAGGAATTGGAACATTGTAACATGGACCTCAAATGAACTCAGTCTTCAGTGTTTTCACCCAACATTGAGTCACAACACCTTCTCACAGCAGTGTGCTCCTCTGGAATTCACAGGTCTCCACAGGTCTCCACGAAAGTCCGACCTTGTTTTCAGAGCCCAAAAAGGACCCCAGCGGAGCAGGTGACCTGCTTTTCCGGGTCCTTTTTCTGGTCACTGAAAACCAACACCTCTGAGATGGCATACTCTGACCAACACATCACATGGAGACGTGTGGCCTGGCTCAAAGAAAAAACAGCCCTTTCCTTGACCAAACACGGGGTGGTGCACTCCACGTCAAATGTGCACCTTCCGTGTCGGGTCGGTCCCTGACAGCTCTGGACGAAGCTGGGAGTGCATTTGACTGTTTTTAGGGGGAACGTTCGGGGGTGCGTTCGGATGTTGGAAGGAAAGCTGATGCTTTCCAGTCGGCCCGTACCGGGTACAAAGAATCGTACTACCGAATATAAATAACTCAACAATAGCTAAAGGCCACGGTGTTCCATGTCCTTGGTCCTTGATCTGAATGGGGATTCACTTCTTGTTGCGGGTCCCTGAAAACAAAACATGCATTCATTCTACCTGGCTTCGTTCATACCTTCCTCCAGTCCGGATGGGCCGGACGCGCCCATCGGACATGCGGTCCGCCCCGGTCACGGCCTGCAGGGAAGCATGATGCTCGGTCTGCTGATCCTGGGACACCAAGGACGTGGGATGCTTCAGCTTCAGTCCGTCACCCCATGTCATTGAGGATGCCAATGCATGTCATGACCGAGGGTCCCCTTTTGGGTGACCGAAACCACCTGGGAGCTCAGTCTGGGTCACTTGGAAGAACCCCGAAGAGTCGTGTTTATCTTGAATTTTTTGCGTATAGAACTCAATGAATCCAGCTGCATACAGCATTCCGGGTGCGTTCTTTCTGGTACGGAGCTTGGGGAGCCCTCCAGCTGACTGGTCAATTCTAGAAGAAAGATTTAGACCCAAACAGAAGGAACCTCCTTTGGCGAGTTAATGGCAACAGGAACAACCATTGGCCTAAACCCCCGACGCTCCGTGCGGCGCCCCAAATCCCGGTCCCGAGCCAAGACTCCGAGCCAATCCGACGCCGTCCGAAGGACCGATCCTATCCGAGGCCTTAGGGCCTTAGGGTCCAGGGTTGGAACACTAGCAAAGGCTCTCATGCTTCGACCCCCACGGCACGGGTCCTCCAGCTGCTTGGACATCTGCTGCTCTCTGGCCTGACGCGCGTACAAACGCGCGCTGACACACGGTCTGTGGCTGTCCATCAACCCCGCCAGACGGGTGCAAAGCTGCTAGAGAACAGCAGGACTCGTATCGAGTCAGGTCAGTTGTGGCCAATGTCTCATGACTCACCACTGGATGCTCCAATAGCAGAAAGTTGTCATACATGCTTCTATATAGTAGATCCAGAAGCACCCGTGAACGGAATGCAAAAATATGCAAAAATGCATGGACCCAGTACAGCCTAAAGGCGGATCACCTGCAACGACCCGGGTCGACCCGGTGGGTTTTGGTATCGACCAACCTAAAGCGCATGTTCGTCTCGCCACACCTGCGGGTCGATGGTGAACAACTCGACTCTCTAGCTAGAGCAGCTAGCACGAGCTAGCTAGGATCTTTCTGTCAACAAATTCTCTCTCACGGATTCTTTGGACTTCTGTTTTGTTTCATTTCTTAAGGCTCCAATTCTAATCCTTCTCAGTATATTGAAGTCCTTCTGCTTCGGCATCTCTCTGGTTTTTGGCGTTTCGGGAGTCCGGATCGGTCGGCCCGGTGAACGGTCCTGAGGCGTTTCGATCCACCCAATCCGAAGGCCAGGACTAGGTTGAAAATGGTGGAGCTGCTTCGTAGGATAAAGCCCTTGGACGTCAGACGATGGTGGTTCGGTAATGAAAATAACAGAATCCAAATGCATCCAATAGATTTATGTTTGAAAGCGTATAGGGAAATTGTTCACTGAACTTTCCTTTCTTTAGTGGAAGTGTCATCAATGCCCCAAATAAGTATAAATAAGATGACTTGGCAGGTGACGGACTTTTGATAGGATGGTCACATGGATTGGTAGAACTCCGGGCCACAAAGCAATGCCGGGGTCGGTCGAGTGAGACTCCATTTCAGCAGACGTTTTCCAGAGGAAAGCGGAGCCTCCCCGGGAACTGGAGCGATTTACCGGACATTGGGCAAATTTGGGCTACATTCAAGTGGGTTTAAGATGTTTTAAGGGTCCATAGTAAGATACCATTTAGTAAATCGATGATTCTTTGAGGTTTCAGAAAGTCATTCCATGAAACCCGGCTTCGGCTAATCTTCCTTGCCTGCAGAGCTGCTTCCAGCTGAGCTCTGTGGAGCTTCTCTTCCTGCGACGCGTGGATTCGTTTGACCAAGCCAAACACCTCCGACCCTCATTCTGGGGCTCCAAGTACTTCCTGAAGGTGCTTGGACCTAGCTTCTTGCTCCGTTCGTAGCAATGCCCTTGTTACTAGAGCGACTCGCCTGAAACCCACCCCAGTCTCTCACCTTCGGTACGAGCGCCGCGGCGAGGTCCGAAGTAAGCCCCGGCGAAGCGACCGAGGGGTGAGGGGTGAGTTGGGCATCTGGGCCACAGAATCCAATTGTCCCAGGTAACTGGAGGGGACAGGCATGTGAACTTGGACAGGCTTTGGTCTGTTAACACTGGATGGACCTTCAATGAAAGAACATGTCACCGTTTTACTCTCAGGCCGGAAGCCTAACTGCACAAAACCCGGCTAAGGTGCCAAGGCCACTTTGAGAAGGGCTTTCCTATAATTTGTCACACCATGGTCACACTCAGCTGTTGACTGTTTGCTTGTGCCTTATCATAGAGGGACCAGCGGTGGACCAACAAACCGAATCGTGGGAGGATTGATGAACACGATTTCTATTATGACCTCATTTTTTCTTTAAACCATTATTATCCCTAGGCCTCCAAGTACCTCAGAAGGTAATTTAGACCCTCCTGGCACCCACCCCAGTCCCACCTTCGAAACGCAGGTACGACTGGAGGCCTAGTTTTCCATGTCCAGGTCTGGATTCTCAGCCCCAAGTGGCGGTGCTCAAACCCTTCTCAGCCTGTAAAGCGCGTTCCAAAGGATGCTCATGCCCAGCCTGCAGCGTGCGATCACAACGCAAACCTTCAAAAGGGAGCTGCATGATGTTTTTCCCATTCGGGCTCATGGCCACCTCCGTTTCGTTGATGGTGCTGGTTGAGGATCTGTCTCTAGCTTCTGTGGCTGGGCCTAGGGTTTATTCCCTCATATCCAAACTCTGTAAGCAGGGCCATGAGCCAAAGCTTGGGAGGGGGCACCAAAAAGGATTCAAATATGATACTACTATGATTCATTGGGTATACCGTATACCGGGTAGAGTCACAATCTTGAAATATCTTGAACCAATCAAGAAAGAACAACACCATCCTCATCATGTCGGTGGACCCCTCAAACCCACTGAAATGATCTGCTATATATACCTACGAAGCTAGTCACATATTCATACGAATCACTGGAATGAGTGCCGAACACTTCTACCTCGAAAGCTGCCCGGCATTTCTTATACAGCAAAGGCAATTAACACTCGCATGCAGCAGTGTTCTTCTCTTGCATGTTCTCTCAAAGCGAGACTGTTGAAATGGTCTTATTCCATCACCAATTGCCCGAAAATGCCTTCCTCTCCGGCTGTGACTGCGCCTCTGACACCAGCAGTGTCTTGGCCACCTTCCAAACACGTCAACAACACAACAAACGAGTCATCACAAGTCCCAGTCTAAAGCCGTCATCACCACAGTCTGAACGGGAATCATGGTACCAGTCTGTTTGTCAGCAAAGCTTGACTGCTTTCCCGAAAAAAATACATGTTTCAGCTGCCACCATTCGAGCATTGTCATCTCAGAATCTAATGAACCAACATTCAGGTTGAACATAGGAACATCATGAGTATAGTATACTTGGCAAACGAACCGCGAGCTTGCCAACTGATGTGATCCACATTGATCCACACTTTTCAAGGACTCTCAAGGGCTCTTGAGAGGGAGTGCTCGCCATCTCACGACGACTCTCGCCAGGTCGGTATATCCAGCGTCGGAACTGGAAGATCTGATGCAACCGATCGGAACAGTGGTTTATCAGGAAAGCAACATCGGGAAAGATGATGGAACACCTAGAACCCAGCACATGACCCCTGTTTTGGATAGAAGTGCGGCCTTGGAAAATGAGGTCATGTAGGCTCCAAGAGGCAGTACATGTATATGTATAAAAGGTGTGTACTACATGACGGTGGCACCGCAAGTTCGACCCGGAAGGAAGGAGCACTCGGAGCACTCAGTGAAGAGGTCTCTTGGGAGTTTCCTCATTGAAGTTCACTTCCATATATGTCCAGTCCTATGGACCAACGCGTCAAACGCCCCCGTAGCACTGAACTGCCACCTGAACTGCTGGCGTCGGGAGCTCCTCGGAGGGCGCCCGGGGGGTCCAGACGAGAAAACAGAGCAAACAAACAGGTATATAGTAGTTACTGTATGTAGTTGTCAATTCTCCGTCGTTTTCCAAGCTATCTGGAGGCTCCA